TGTGTGTGTGTGTGTGTGTGTGTGTGTGTGTGTGTGTGTGTGTGTGTGGTGTGCTCTCTGTGTGTGCATTTGTGTATGTGTGTGTCTGTGTAGAGGTCAACTTCAAGTATCATTCCTCATGCTGTTCACCTTGATATTTTGAGGTAGGGTCTCTAATTAGTTTGGAACTTACAGAATAGGCTAAACTGTCCAGCCAGTGAGCCCCAGTGACATGCCAGGGCATAGCTGCAGGAGCACTGGGTACTGGGGATCAAACTCAGACCACCACACTTGCTCGTTGACCGAGCCACCTCCAGTGTGCAAATGTGTGCTTGTGCACACACATGTGCGAGTGCCCACACACTCGCCTTGCTGTCTTCATGTTTACTTCAGTTCCTTTATTCCAATTATTCTAACTCTTACCCCTCCTTCACCATGGGTCTCAGGCAGGGCTATGTTCCTATTCTACAGTACACCATACCCTCAGGCATAGCATTGCACCTGCAGGCCATTGAGGCTGCCTTTGCCGCTTTGCATTCGGCTCACAAGCTGAATTCAAGTCAGTGCCACTGTCACTGAAGGGCTGAGGTTCTGAAAGGCTCAAGAAAGCCTCTAAAGAGTTCCCCAAATGAAAATTCTGACAATCTAATCAAACCCTACTCTGTCACCCAAGGGCTGATTCACTTGGTGGCAGCCATCAACACTCTCACAGAAATGTGGAATGAGCCAGCCACTCACATTTTCCCTTCTTCATTAAAATCCTCTTTCACCTGCACTCCAGTTTCTTGGAGGGATGGCTCTACTTGATTAGGCTCTAAGTTTGCTAACCTGTTCTGGAGCATGAATTGGGAGCAGAAGGTTGGCATGAAGATGTTGCAAGTGAAACTTGATGATAGATTTACCCTTCCCAAGCACTAGTCCCATCAGCATCTGTGTGAGGTACGGCCCTCAGTGCTGTGAGCAAGGCATGAAAGCAGCAACCTGAAAGAGCAGAGGTTCATTTTAGTTCACGGTTCAGAGGAAGCAATCCATCATGGGGTGGGGGGGAGCATCGCTGCAGGAGCCTCTGTCCATGGCTGCACAATTGTTGCAGCTTGACTTTTCTTCATGTCTCTGTGAATCAGAATGTGAGAGCGAGACTGTCCCAGGCTGCCAAACTATAACCCCAAAGCTCCACCACTCTGCCATGTCTTCTATCCAGGCCCCAAAGTTTCCAAAATGCTCTTTTGGAACATGCGTGCTCTGTGTACCCATATCCACTCAGGATTAATGGACTTGTGGACATTCACTTTTCTTACTGCTTTTGATGAAATAGATGAAATATAAATCTATTGCCTGAGAGTTGAACGTAGCTCTTAACTATTCACTCTTAAATGTTAAAATATAGATTATTATCACTTGCTATGAATATAGAATCATATGTAAGACCACAAAGAATCTGACCCTGGGGTCTGGAGAGAGACTCATGAGTTCACATTTTAATTGGTCCAATGGGTGCTCTAGAGAGATATAGCTGACCCCCTATGCTGCATGTTGTGTGTTATGTTAGAGAATTGCTCTGAAGAGCAGGACATTCTTTTCTCTGTACATTCTTGCTTCGTGGATGGGGCTATGAAATCCTAGGCAAGCACAGTGACTAAGTGTGATCAGGCAGAGTGTGGGCTAGAACTGAGTCCTGGCTCTGGCTTTCCAACAGCCCCTGGTATTGGATTATAGACAATAGGAAAGGTCTTCTTTTCAACAAGATGGATTTAGATTAGATCCAAGGGAGAATTTCTGACAGAGAAGAATATTGAGCAAGCTTGCCCAGAAGGCCTCCTCTCCTGGAACGTTTGGAAATTGTTTCTGAGTGGTCTGATGGTGTTCCCTCTTGCTTGTAAATTACCTATGTAGTCAGAGGGGTCTAACAGTAAGTAGACATGAGTCACAGCTTCAAAATGGGTCCTTCTGAGAGTGATGGTTTAGACCTGGACTGAGGCAAGGAGCCTGACCAGAATAACAGCTCCTCAGCAGGGACAGCATGTGGTCACTGGTCCCCTGTGTCCTGCCTCCTATGACAGTCTCTCTCTGTGTCCTTTCAGAAGGCTGATCTGGCTGTGGCAGGCCTCACCATCACAGCTGAACGTGAGAAAGTGATTGATTTCTCGAAGCCATTCATGACGCTGGGAATTAGTATTCTTTACAGAGTTCATATGGTAAGAGACTTATTTTATAAGCATTTATGCCATTAAAGTTATTTGCATGCAAACACCGAGTTATATGGTAATAATGAATGACTCACAGAAATATTTAGATTTCGAGACTTCAATGCAAATGTGCTGGGCTATTTTTTCCTCCATCAGCTACAAGAACTTACAAACAGAAGAAATGGAAAAGTCGCACTGGGGAGCTTTCCAGCAAAGATGGCTTCTGTCTCTAAATAGGGATGGCTGAGAGTGTCACTTGGTACATAGTATGTCAGGGACTGGCCTCAGTCATGTTCTTCCAGGAGGCAGGGACCAAAGCTTAGATAAATTCACCAGCATGCTTAGGGCTCCTCTGCCTCCAGGGTCTACTGTGTTCACTCTGGGCATTGGAAGAATGTAGAGGACTGTGGGCTTCATCTTCTCTTGCTTTTTGGTGCTGGTGACTATAAACTGGGGTTCTATTCCTGCTAATACTGTCCACCTACATTTCTTGTTTCTTTATTTTTATTTTTAAAGGATTTTTTTCTGCTTATGCTAAGCATCAAAATGAATACATAGGAACACATCAGTAGTTAGACAAAGATGGACATGACATCTGAATGTCTTGCCTGGTGGAAAGAGCAGGAGTCACTCTAGCTGTGTGCCATCAGTCAAATTGATCATCACTCTGTGGCCAGCCAATAATGGAAACTTCCTTGCTTCTATTATTAGGCCAAAAGATTCTTCCTCTCCCCCTTCATCTAAACTACCTCTAGGTGTACAGCTGTCACACAGATCTCCCTGTATTCTCGTCCCTTTCAGTGGCCATAATTTAACTGTCACACACACTCCATGTAACCTGACACCATGAGGCCCCATGACAATGGCTCTCATTTATTGAGTACCTCTGTGTCCCAGACATTACCAGATGACTGTGAGGTAGATTCTACTTTGGGAGTGAATTAGGTCCCTATAAAATACGTGCTGAAGTCCTGAGCCCCAAGATCTATACATGCAGCCTTTCTTGGAAACAGAGTCCTTTCCAATGCTATGAAGAGTTAAGATAAAATCTAGCAGGAGAGACACCCAGAGGCCGCCCACACCCCTTCAAGTCTGACTCTCAGAGGAGGAGACCTCAGGTGTTTTTGCAGCTTCAGCGAGGCTTACAACTGACTTTGGAAGACAAACAACAGTTTGCCAGTGGGCATATCCATCCTATATGCAAATCTGAATCCCCTGGGAATCAAGGAGGGCCTGGATTTGGAACTGTGGCTGAGTATCTACAGGATAGAAACCACTGGGTTACAGTGCCCATCCAGCAGGCTTGACTTATCACAGCTACACTGTTTTCTACTGGACTACCTGGCTGGGAAAGATGACCAGAGCATCTAGAAGAGATAAGAGTCAAAATGTTAAGCTCTACAGACAGAGACAGAAGCAGTGAGGAATTCGTTACAGTTGGTGACTCTATGACTTGTAGAATAAGGAGGCTATGACCCTCTGAACCTGTGTCCTTCCTCGTCCTATTGCTATGAAAGCTCTTATTTACTGAGAGTCTCTATGTCCCAGATACTTGAAGGTAGCTGTGCTGTGGCCTCTAGTTTGGTGTTGATTGTGTCCTCTTCAAAGTATATGTCGAAGACCTAATTCCCAAGGCCCATGCACATAACCTCACTGGGAAATAGAGTTCTTGCCATTGTTATAAAGAGGTAAGAGAAAGCCATGCTGGATTCACTTCGGTCTTTATTCAGTGACTAGCCAGCATCCTTACAAAAAGAGGAGGATTTGACTGGATGAGCTGGTACATGTTTTAATTCTAGCAGTGGGAGAGGCAGAGACCTCTGTGAGTTCAAGCCTGATCCTCTCTACCTAGCAATTTCCAAGCCAGTCAAACTTACACAGTGATACCTTGTCTCAAAAACAATTTATTTAAAGGGAGCAGGAGATTTGGACACAGATGCACAGGGAAAAGACCATGTGGAATCAAGCACAGAAATTGCATGCATCTCCATGCCAACAAGCATCAGCTATCTCCAGCAACCACACAAGTTAGGAGAAATGAGAACCCTCTCCTGGGGGCCTCTGAGAAAGCTAAAGTCTGCCATCACATCAATGGGCTTCAATCCTCAGTAACTGGGAGATAACACATTTCTGTTATTTTAAGTGTCCTGGTTGTGGACTCTGTCTTGACCATCCTAGGAAACTAACACGGTTGTGCTGTGCTTATATGAGGAATGAGGACATGAGTAGGATCATTTTTAAAAGTAGGTCAAGGGCACATGCTAGCAGCTCACACATGCTAATCACATGTTAATAAGCCGAAGAGCAAGGTGTGATTTCAGCCTTGCTCGCTTTGTATAACAAGCCTGTGTGGTCTTTGTAACTTGTCCTGTAGGCTTTACTCTCTCTTTCCCATTGCGACCTCTGGATCGTTCTCTAAGGGAAAACAGGTGGATACTAACATCCCATCTTACAGAGCAGGAGACCAAACTCACACTTGCAGCCATTCCAGGGAAAAGCTTGGAATCCAGGCTTCTCATTCCAGGGTGTGGTTCTTGACTTTCATCAAGCCCCATGTCTCCAGCTTCCTCTCTCCTTTCTCTCTAGAGAAGGAATAGAGACATACAGCCTTTCTCCATACTACTCTGCTCTGGCCATCTATAGAAACACAGTCAGGCTGTGGCCTTGATTTCCCAATTAAAGCTGAGGAAGCTAGAACTCTGATGGTGACTTGATGACCTTTCGGCAGCCCTGTGGCTAGAGGCACCCAATCCCAGGTGTTTCCACCTTATGGTACCCATGGCTGAGCTGCTCAGCACAGGACAACATAGTATCAAAGAGCAGCTCTGTCCAGCACTACACCTTAGTCATCAACCCTGTGGACTTCTTAAATGGTATTGTCAACCAACTATTTATTATCACCTACCTCACAAATCTGTGGCTGTGTTTGTCCCCTGAATTACCTCCTGGAACATTAAGTCTTGTGTGTCAGCTTGCAAAGCTACAGTTTCTCCAGATGTGTCGGCCACTATTTCTGGAAAGGTATTTTGGAGGTGTGATGACATTAACTAATTGACTCTTTGGCATAGAGATGCCTCCCTCCAATCTTTGACTTTGAATCCATTCAGCCTCTCCCCTGTGCCTATGTCCAAATTCTCCTTTTTATAAGGATATTCATCATTGGGACCAGGCTCATCTAAATCCAGTATGATTTTAACTCTCCCTAACATTGGCTAGGACTCTGTTTTCAAATAAGGTTGCACAAGTCATGAGAGTTAGGAATTAACACATATTTTGAGAGGGACATGGGCCAACTGCAAGAATGTGAGTGGGCCTCTATAATTAGTTTAATGCTACTAGAGAAAAGAGAGGCTTTCTAAAAAAGGAATTCTGCTCCAGACCATAGCAGAGATCTGCCTAAGATCTTTTGGACTTACAAACTTCTACAGTTATATAGTTAATACATGAGCCAATACCTTAACATCAATCTAAATATGATAGATTGGCAGATAAATGGATGGATAGATCGGTAGATTGATAGATAGGTAGATGATAATAGACAGATGGTAGATAATAGGTAGATAAAGAGATACATTCATACATATACATGATGGATAGATAGATAGATAGATAGATAGATAGATAGATAGATAGATAGATAGGAGCTAAGAGTTCTACAATTGGATCAGCAGGCAGCAGAAAGCGATTGAGACACTGGGCCTGGATAGAGCCTTGGAAACCCCAAAGCTCACCCCCAGTAACACATTTCCTCCAATAAGACCACACCTGCTCCGACAAGACCACGCACACTCCAAGAAGGTCACACCTCCCAATTCCTGTCAAATAGTGCCACTTCTTAATGGCCAAGCATTCAAATATATGATACTGTGGGGGGGCATTCCTATTCAGACCACCAAATAGATATACTGAAAATTGATAGGTGATAGGTAGGCAGATAGACAGAAAGATAGATGATTGATAAGTCAAATGATATGATATAACAAAGCTGTAGACATATACAAATATTGATACATCTATATCTTCCATCATTACTGTTTCTCTGGAGAACCCCGACTGACTGATAGTCTCCCAGGCTAGTCTAGAATCCCTCCTCTCTCCAGCCCCACTGTGGAGGTACCAGTATGCCACCCAGCTGCTCAGAACTAATTTCTATTGAGGCTGAACTCAGTGAAAAATGAATTCTGGCATGAACAACTTACACTGAGCAGACCTGACAGCTTATGCATTTATTCAACAAATATTTACTGAGTGCATTCTGTGTGTGAGGCACTATGCTTAGAAAGTACCAGAAACTCAATTGGTGAGAGAACATTCCTGAATTGGCTGAAGCAGAGGAGACCTAGTAAGCAGTGTCTGCAGTGAGCACAGCTGTTTGAGAACTGCACAGGCGGAGTCTGCCAGGAGCCGCTCCATATAAACTTATGCAGAGAAGCCTTGCCTTCAAAATAATAGTACTAATGGAACAAAATTAAAGTTAACTAATTGGTGTTTACTGATTTGTGAATTTTCTCTGATTGATGGTTATCTTTGAGTAAAAATATGGCTAATCTGTTCTCATTTATAATCTATAAGGATCTAGAATCTCTTCTTCCCCATGTTTATAAGGTCACCTGACTAATGAGTGATTGTTACCAAAAGGTGAGCATCTGGCAGCAATCAAGTCTGTGTGTGAATGTAGAAGTAATTAACTCAGTGTAAATGCCTAGTCAAGAATTGTTTTTATTCATTTTTAATACAAAAGCATTAAATTTATATGTATCTATGGAATATCATGTAATACCTTATTATATGTATATATTGCATAGTGTAATCGCAGTTAAACACAATTGCAAAATCCTCCAGAGAGTTGGCTCAGTGAGTACAGTGCTTGGTGTGCAAGCCTAAGGGCCTGAGTTCAGATTCCTCCAAATCCATGTAAAAGCCAGCTCCACAGTGGTGGCATCTGTGGTGGTTTGAATAAGAAGCTTCCCATAGACTCATATATTTGAACATTTAGTCACCAGGGAGTA